CCTGTCGGGCCTGGGACCCGGACCCGTCCTGTCGCCACCGGACCCCTCTACCAGATTATCTGTACTCCAATGGAGCCGCATCTGCCACTCCAGGAGGACTTTTAATTCGGACTTATTCTGGACTGTTTCCCAAAACCAGGTCGTATTCTGACCCTGTCAGAGGTTCTGGGATTATTTGTTTCTTGTTGTTCTTTTCTCTGTATCATTACCTTTGTAGTTTGCAATATTCTCAGTAAAGAACTGGTATTCCTATCCCCATATCTTTGTCTGAAAGCCCCATAATTTCAAAGTATAGCAATTCAGAGGTGGGGAGGGGTTTACACAGGTTTCCCCTGTCTTCTAAACCGAGACAACACTGTGGCCAGTGACCTGCTCTACTGTCTGGGCCAGATTCGAGACTACCTTGCCCGGGTGAACGTGATCTGGCTGCTTCAGAAGGCCGGGGAAGCTGTGTTGATTCACTGCATGGTTGGGGTCGCTCTTGGCCTCTGAAGAAAGGTGAAGAGGGGATCCTCAGGGTCCCTCCCCACAGCACCTGCCAGAGCTCATCAGCCCCAGATGCAGCTCTCACGGGCTGCCTGCACACCCTCAGACATGGCCCCTCAGTCCTCGCCTTCCGCAGTGCTGTAGCCGTTCGTAGTCTCTGTGGAGGAGCAGCAGCTCGCTCCAGCCAACCCGTCTGCCCACAGACCAGTGGCTCTCAAGATCTGAGCAGCGAGCACAGCTGGAGACAGACACCCAGCCTCATCCTGACATTTAGCTACCCCCTCAGCCGCCCAGCCTGGGTGCCCTTCTGTGGAGCCACAGATCCTTCACCCAACTGCCAGTAAAGCCAGTTGTAGCCCTCTAAGCTGGGTCCAGCTGTTTGGGGCTGGTTGCAGTACTGCCCCCTCACACCAGGTCCCGCCCCACACACGCTGAGTGCTCTTCTGCACCATGTTACAAAGTTGTCGCTTTGCCTACGGTGAAAACAGGGACGCTTCTCTTAGCCAAGCTCAGGGACGTAGAAGGGATAAAACTGGCACAACTCATGTCCCAGCTGGACCTAGAGCACAGTGGCCCACCAGTGCCACCTGCCAAGGCCTTGCAGGAGCCCAGTGTGGGCACAGGTTTGTGCAGCAGGAAAGCCTTTGCATT